TTAACCTTTGGAACATGGCAGGGTTATCACCTAGAATTCCATTCTTCCGCTCCCTTAATTATGTATATCTTTGCCTTAACAAACCTTAAAAAAAGATTTCAGATGTTACAAGTCTAATTAAAGAGACAGACAAAGCACAGTTTATACTGTAGATTTTTTCTGCAGTTCAATTAATCAGCATGTTTTCTCTTTTAATTAAAACCATTTTAGTAAATTAAAGCCCACAGCAAAACACATATATAATTTGTTTGTAATTAGCTCTTAATTGGTGGTAGTTGAAGCTTAGCACCCTTGGTTTCTTTCTTCATGATTGCCATTTTATTAGCAGCCAGTCATTAATTAATCTTTTTTTCTAATTAGCTTATAAAACTGTTGATGGCACATTATTGTAAATGTGATTTTAAGTTCAAAGCTTGTTAATAAGCTTTCTTACTTAGAAGAACAGAGATAAAGAAATTGCTGAAAACAGTACTACAGTTCTTTTTTTGAAACTGCCTTTGTTATAAGGGGGCTGTGTAAAGCATCTAGCAGCTTATAGTTAATTTTTTAATGCTGGGTTTTCTCATGAATGGAAGAAGTTACTTGCATTTAAATGTTTAAATCTAGCAAAGGGTTTACTGTTAGAACAGTGCTCTGTCCTTGCTCCATTACTGTGTCATCCAAATATCATTTTGTGGTGTAATACACAGCATAAAAATACAACAAAGATATTACAGAGTATTTTACAGTGGAAGTTGAGCATGCCATTGAAAGGGGACAATTTTCACTGCAAAATCCACTTGGTATTCTTGTTTGCTTTATATATTTTATATACGTCAGCAATGGATAACATTCCATAACATAAAAGGAGAAAATCATTGCTAGAGGCAAGCCTGAAATAGCCAGATTCATATTTGATGAGAAAGTGTAACACTGTATTAAAAGGCTGTTTGGCTTCTCTGGTATGATCATAGGATATTTCAGGAGCTGTTTCAATATAGATGTTTTGTTGGAGCTTCTGTAGGTTTAGCATTTTGTGCCTTTTACCTAAATATTTCTGGAGCAGTTCTTGAATCTGTTGTCTCATTGCTTGTATCATACAACATTTACTTGCACAGTTTATCTTAATGAGAATTCCTTGCTTGATGCTATTTAGTGTGAAATGTCTTGATTTTCAGGGAAGTTTTCTGGAAGTTCCAGTAGGTTCTGTTGCAACTTAATAAAAATGTTTACTCTTTTGCTGAACTTTACATCCTATTTCAACTTCAGCCATTTCTTTGGTTGTTTTAAAAGTGTTTTATGATGCTGTGCAAGAAACACTAGAAAGGGATAGCTGACAAGGAAAAAATTAAAAATTGGATAAAAAGTAAATGAATAATGTCATATTACTAAAAAGATGAGAGGCTAATTTGTGCCGACTTTTTGCTAATTTTGTTCAAGCCTCAAAATGAGGAGCTGTCACCCGTTCTGTGTAGCACTGATGACAGTGCCAATGATCCATGAAATAAGCTGCCGCTGGCTTTGTTCTGATAAGAATGAACAAATCTGCACAATGTACGGCTCCCAGAATCTCATTTTCATACTTGCATGCAGGCTAAAAGAAATAAGCTGTTTGCAGGCTTGATTAATCAGACATTTGAGGGTTTTTTGTCTCTTTGATCTCTTTCGTCTCCTAGGTAACTTGCTTGACATTAATGTTGAGCTTGAGTAAAGACAATCAGGAATTGTAGACCAAACTGATATAAAAATTAAAGACCTTAACACTTTAAGTACTCCAGTAATGGTTCCGCTTTACTTCAGAAAACATCTGTTTTCATTTAATTAAAGAACAAAAGAGAACGGCATAAATATTTTTCATCGAGACCTGTTATTCCATAAAAAGTTAAAGTATGATAATTGGTATTCTAAAATAAATGCCTTGAAACTCTTCAAAAAGAAGCCAAGCTTCAGAAATGCGTTACAAGGTAACAATTTCAGATGAGGAGAAAATTCTCCTTTATGCTACATTAAACATCTAGAGGAAGATATTTGACATGATTATTGATCAACTTCAGAATGGAAGGGTCTTTGCCCTGTAGGAATTAAGTTGTTTTTGTTAAGTTTGCTTAAAAAATACATAGATGTACATATATATTGTGTTACAGGGATGAACCATTCTATCAGCTTTACTACCCAATATGATTTACACACTTTAAACCTGTAAAATTGAAAGGAATTTAGAGGAAAAAAAAATGTCGCAGTGCGTTTGCTTGAGGTTATGCAGACGCTTTTACAAATCTTCCAAGTGGCTGTAAAGATGAATGCCTCAAGGGTCTAGCCAGGGCCCTGCTTTTCCAACCAGCTAAAGCCCTTATCTTAAATCCAAGCAAAGTACCATTAATCTTTTTGAAAGACCTTTTATGGCTTTTAATATATCCCAAATTAGAACATTTTACACCCTTGGTTCCTGAAATATGGTGATAAAAAGCCTTTAGAGCTTAATTTTCCTTACTGCGTGCTCTGACCAATTTGCAGTTCTTTGTGATAATGTTTAGACACCTTAATTAAAATGCAGCAAAATATTGGATGTTCTATATGGAAAATGCTGATACTTTGACTACACAAGAAATTGTTGTATATATTTTTATTCATGCTTTCTTGCTTCTTTTAAGACTGTATTTTATTGAGTTATCTGATGACCTGAAATGTTTGGGGTTTTTTTTAATGTAAAACCCATTGACCAAGCTTTTATGGTTTTCTTTGTGGACAGGGTGGGAAGGCAGGATGTATGTCTGGGTGTGGGTGGGAGCAGAAGACGTTTAATCTGACTAGAATGTTTGTGTGTGTTTATGTGCAACATATTTGACTCTGTGTAGCCTAGAAATTACAATGTTAATGCTGCAAAATACTTCTCTTTTTATTTCCATATACACTACAGAGGATCTTACTATCCCTTTTTTTTTCCCCTTTTCAAAGACAGAAGAATTCATTCTGTCTTCCAAGAAATACAGATCAAAGTATTTTTCTGCAGCACTTGTGTGCACCTCACATGTATATTTGTATGTTTCTAAGGTTCAATACGCCATTAAAATATATTTTAAGGAGCTGCTGTTATTCATTATATAGTAAGAGTTAATATTCAAGTGTGTTAGGAGGTAAGATACCGTTCAGGAATGGTCATGGCTGTGCTGATTGACTGACTCCAGCCATTAGATTGCACTGGTTTTTAAGGCAATAATTGTCCTGTTTCAATTAACAAGTAAGCATTTCTTGAATTTCTTTTCTAGGTGAGTTTTCTTCAGCATTTTTATACTGCAAGCATTAAAGTTAATAGGTGCCCTTAAATATGAAGTGACAATGCAAATAGGAGAATGTTACATCTTCTGGTCTCTGACTTGAGATTTGCAGTTCAGATGTTGGCATTGAATTACTGATTATATAAAATGTTAATACTCGGAGGACAAATGATGTAGCTAACAGTATGGAAGTTTTGAAATGTCTGGCTACATGAATTATTTTGTGCATTGAGGTGATTCCATAGGTACATATTTATGACCTTACGTAGATGAAAACCTTTAGCTTTCCTTATTTTGCGCATTTTGCTTTTAAAATATTATGCTTGTGTTGCCAGTGTTTGGAGCCTCAAACAACGCACAGACTGATGTGCTTAGTGCAGGTGCACAGGTAGCCTTTCTGCAGAAAGCTTTGAGAGCCTACTTTGGACCATAAGGGCTGTAAGGTAGAATAGCTTATAGTGGTGCTGGTTTGTTTTGCTTTGTTTACAAAATAATCTCCTCCCTACATGGTAAGTGTTTGATGGGAGACCTGTAACAGATGTGCCAGTGCATCTACAAGCAAAGATGTCTTCTGAGTTCTCGCTCATCTTACCTGAATAAAATGTGTCTCAGGAAATAAGAATTGCTTGCATAGATGCCTACAGACTATTTGAAGTATATTACTATTAATAGTGGAACTCTCGCCAAAGCGTTAAGGAGCATCCTTTCACTCTCCCATGCCTTTCTTGTTTGATGCTTCTCTGAGGTTTTGGAGAAATTGAGAAGATCCAGTCAGAAGCTATTAGCTAACTCCAGGAGGCTTTGGAGTGGATAGGAAGAAAAACCTATTTGTCCACATCAATTTGTAGCACCTCTGGCTAAGTGAATTGCTTGTTTGTCTTGGAGAAAAGCGGTAACTTTTGAGACAAATTCTTCTGTAATTCATAATTTAGTGGCAGATAATGTCAAGTCATGGCAGAAATCCCAAAACATAACAATAATGAACAGGTTATGAATGCTGCTTAAAGAAAATGATCAGGTCGCAGTTCACAGTATCTTCTTGATCTCTTTGCTTTGTTCTGTTTTTTTCCTCCATGACATTCACTTAAGTGAACTTAAATCCTCACAGTGTGATGAGTAAGTTTATGAAAGCAAAGTAGTATTCACCTACAGCCTGTTAGGACCTTAATTGAAAAGTATGCATATTATCACACTAATAATATGAAAGCTGGTAACATGAAGACGAAGTGCCAGATGGACTCTAAGGGCACTGCTGCATTTAGTTGCTGGACAGACTGATTAAAACATGACCACTGGCACTACTGGAAAATGTATGATAGTAGCAGTTCTTCTGTATAAAACTGTCTTTTTGGGTGTTTTTCATATTGGTATGACCTGATGCTTTTGTTGTTGGCACAGCTGAGGTCACAGACTGGTCTTAATGATGGAGATTGTGTGTGTGTGTGTATTTATTTAAAAACAAACAAAAGGATCTAGTCGGCTATTGCCCTTTGCTTTTATTCTTGAAAATGAAGGATTTGGTGAAAAGGATTGCTTGCTCTAGGATCCCGTTCCTTTGTATTTCTTTCCAGAGACATTCTTGCTCATCTGATCTAGTAGCACAGCATCAGCCTAATGTTTGAAAGATATTAAAGTATCTATTGACTTTTGAGGAACAGTATCGGACCAAGTAATTTGTGAGGCTTAAATTTCACACGAGCCCTTTGGATCTATTCAATTTTCCTTTGTTCCCTTTTTATGCCTTAGCTTGGTGTGAAAATTGCCAAAGCTGTTGCTTGCCGCAACTTTGTAAAAGCCAAGCAAGAAGCAGAGGCTGCCCAAGAAGCTCAAAAGAAAAAGAAGCTTGCTTGGGGGTAAGTCATTTGAGTATGGAATTAAACATGTGCGGTTTCATTGGCACTAAGTGTATACAATACAATCTCAGCTAAATGTTTTCTTAGTTGAAATAGGCTTGTGCTAATCTTATTTGTTTAGTTTAACCTTGCTGGGGGTTTTTATGTTGGGTTTGTGTCTTTTTTAGCAGTATATCAGACTTAATTCTGGTAAAGCCTCTATTCTTAATGTGTTGGTTATATGGCTATATTTGCCTTCATGTCTTTGTAATGGTATTAAAAATAAGGTTTTGTTTTTGTTGTTGTTAGGGTGAGTACCCGAAATGTGCATACTCAAGATTCCTAATGTGGGTTTTGTGCTGTATTTCAGATTTGAAGCCAAGAAAAGATGGGAGACAAAGAGCAACATGGGATACATGTAATCCATCCTGTTCTCCTCAGGACTTAAATACTTGTTTTTACTTGAAGAATCTTTGTGGGCAACTTCTTAAATCTAAACACAAAAGAAACCCCAAAACAAACCCAAACATATCAGATTCCTTGTGTTTCTCTTAATACTGTTAGACTGCAGCATCTTTTTTTTATTTTGTCTTATAATGCTGTAAAAATACTATCTAGACACCAGTGCCATGTTAAATAAAGCATTTTTCTCCAAAATATGAGAATTTAAGATTAGGCATTGCAGAGTGCATTTAGAGTCTCATAGAGAACTCTGAAGATGGAGTAAAATACTTGGTCCAAGTAAAATACTTGGTCCAAGTATTTTATGTGGTCTGTGCTGCACTGCAATTGTAGTGCTTGGGTGTAGGGAGTGGAATAAGCTTTCCTGCTGAGATTATACAAACTTAATGCAGTAAGTGCTACTTTTCTGATTGCTTGAAAGTGTGTGTTTGTGCCACTAAATACAGAAAAGCAAAACCACCCTACCTGTGTAAAACCATTATTATTTATGCATTTATAGGCATAGTAAATACCATCAGGAAAAAAAAATGGCCTTAGAAGTCCATCATCTCTCCTGGAAAGATCTGCTATTTGTCATGTGCTGGTGCCATGTTCTTCAGTATATTTCAAATTCTCATTTTCCTTTCCTTCCCAAGAAATCAAGTTTTCAAAGTCCCAGTTTCTTTTAGGAGATAAATAACATAAATACTTACCTTGAGAAATATCTGAAGTATGTTGTGCAGCTAACTGCACTCAAGAAACAAAGGCAGGTTTTACTCAAAGTCCAAATTCTACAGATCAATTAGGATTTGAATGTTTATGGTATAATCTTATAACTAGAATTGATGATGTTTCTTTCAAATTGTTCTGAGTGAATAGTAAGAACACATTCAGAACTAATAACTTTTCTCCCTGAAGCTCTTGCGTGTGTGTTTAGTCACCACAATGCCTGAATTGAATTGGTAATGTAAATGTCAGTTATTGTTAACCAAGATTAATATGTTTCAGGCCAAAGGTATGGTATTAGTGTAATGGTGATTTACTACAGAAGTACTTGAGGCTAAAACAACGTGCCAACAAATAGCAATTTGAAGTTTTATGGCACCAATTCGAAGAGTTTGGGTTTGCAGTCCAACACGGAATAGTACATTTTTGTTCATTACCCCTCAGGATGTTTGATTCTTTTTCTCTTTTAGCAGAATGTCATATTTCTTTCACAAAGATGAGAGTTTGCAATATGGTAATCTGCAGTTAGCTGTAAGCAGTTACAGTGACAGAGTTGAATACAATTGCCAGGATTGTAAATCAGGGGCTAAACAGGTTTCTGCAATATAACATCATAAATCTCACACTATGGTTTACAAACTACATCAGCCTTAGTAACTGGTGTGGAAGGAAGCAAGTGGTATCTCATAGTAAAATGATTATAAAGGCAAATTGCATGTTTGCTTGCAGAAACAGATTATACCATGAACTTCATCAGGATTTTTCTTAGTTCCAAATATTCCTGTCCAAAAATTCCAAGCACTCTGTCCATAATTCCTGTTATTTTAAGCATCTGTCAGGCGAGTGTTAAAGTTGACCTTTCTGCTTGTTACATACTGAAAAGCAGAATGGTGCTGATAATTTTGTGCTGAAAACAGCAGCAGTATTCCATTAAGCATTTAAAAGTAGTGTATATTAAAGAGATGCTATATGTTTTTCATAGTAGTTGCTCTTAATAATTATTAGTCAAATTGAAGACCTTATTGTAAGGATCAGTGCTGCTTGGTATGAAAATGTGCTTTAAAAGAAATCCAAGCCCTCAGAAAACACCTACTGCATGAGAACTTGCTGTGTTGTATTTGTCACAGCAGTGCCTACACAGCCACCTGTCATATTTTTCACTTACCCCATTAGTTTTATGTTAGGCCATTAATAATGCAACCGTTTAGAAATCATGCAGAATGTAGGGGGCCTGCAAGAAAGCTGAAGAGGGGCATTTTGTAAGAGTGAGTAGTGATAGGACAAGCAGGGAATGGCTTTAACCTGCCAAAGGGGAGATTGAAATGAGCTCTTAGGCAGAAGCTCTTCCCTATGAGGGTGCTGAGGCACTGGCACAGGGTGCCCAGAGAACCTGTGGCTGCCCCATCCCTGGCAGTGTTCAAGGCCAGGTTGGACACAGGGGCTTGGAGCAAGCTGCTCTAGTGGAAGGTGTCCCTGCCTGTGGCAGGGGTTGGAACTGGATGAGCTTTAAGGTCCCTTCCAACCCAAACCAGTCTGGGATTGCAGTGAGTTACTTGATTGGTGAATTAAAAAAATGATCATATGTTAAGTATTTTGATTGACCTTAAGTATTCACTTAGGATATTAGTAAATTCCTAGAATTATACTATATTTAAAAAAACCTGATCAACAAGGAAAATACAAAAGCCTAATAAAAACATGAACACTTTAAAAGACATCACAAGCTGCAGGTCTGATTCTAACACGTCTTGCATTCCTGACTCTGGTAGTTTTGCTCTATGCTATGAATTTTGCCAAGCAACTAAAACTCTGCTCTGAGGCTTAACTTTTCCTGTTTAAGACTGTTAAAACAATCCAAATGCTCGTTGCAGTTAACGGAAACCTTTTTAATCAGCTTAAATATATAATCTCTTACACTGAACTAAATTTGAGATCTAATAATAATTCTTTCAGCAAATGAAAGGTTTGCACTGTCTTCCTTGTCTGTCTGAAATTATGTATCTAGGGGAATGTACTTGAATTATTAATTTCAGTACAAATCTGTTGTGAAGCCAAATATTTATTAGGAGTTCACTTGATGATATCTTGAGTTGGGCAACAGTTGAAAGGCAGCCTTACCTAAGCAGCTTCCTACCCTCAGAAGTCTTGGAAGACTTGATTGCCTGCACTGGTTTTGCCCAGTTTTTCCTCCACAATTTCATACCTTTTCCAACTGTAGTCATGGTACTCTCTTGGGTATCCTGAGTAGTCTTGGGTCATTTGAGGAAAAATCATGCAGCTTCCTAATTGAGGTTCTTGGGGTAAACAGAAGAACTAACTTTGAGAAGGGGAGTGTCTTCTCACAGTTACCTGTCATTCCTTGAACCAGTACTGTTATCTTGAGCTGCCTGGCCTGCCCAGAGGTAGCTTGGTTATGTGCTGAACTTTGCCAGTGAGGCCTCTTAACTAAGTTAACAAACTTAGTTTGCTTGGGTGCAAAAATGCAGTGAGGTGGTTAGATTGCTTTTGGTTTTACAGTGGACTTGGTTGATGTCAAGTTACTGGCTCTGTTCACAGTTACGCTAAGCAATGGGGGCTCTCCTTACTGGACGCTTTTCACTCACGTGGGTTTTGTACTCTTCCATTTATACTTCCATGTGGGGATAGTGTAGACTCCTGTTCTTGCAATTCTGTTGTGTTCTAAGGCCTGCCTAGTCAAGAAATAGTTTATCAACTCCTAGGTAAAATACAGCCAGTTTGAAGTTTGACAACAGCATACTAATACAATTACTAGTATTTCTTAATACCGCATTCCTGAGCTCCTAAACCAAAGAGTGGCTGCAGGGACAGTTTGACAGATAAAAACATATATATAGTTGTTAGAGTTTTAATAGTTTTTTTGCCTGCAACCATAATCTGTATCATTATTTTTTTTTAGTTTAATTCTGTTGGACAGGTTTCAAAGATAAATATGGTGTGTAATAAGCCTTTGCAACCTCTAATTTGTGAAGGAGTGTCTGTCCAGTTAATACTTGCTCATTGAAGCAAGGGGTTTTGAAATAGCTGAAGTACGAACTGTAATTACTGATGTCTGTTTCCTATTCACCTATGGCTTCTGGCATTTGATCAAAAAATGTAATGTATTGCTTAATCTCGGAGCATTCCCCACTTTCAGAAATATTTACTTCAGGAGAATTGTACAGCAGTAAATGACCTCAGCAAAACCAGAGTAGATTTTGATTTGGCATTGATCATACGTAGCTAATCCACCAACAGGTCTTTTTCCTGTTACTTTTGCATGTTGGTAATTTAGGTATGTATTTATAATGTACCTCTAATGCAAGCTTGAAGCATTTTAAGAAGTATTAAATATATTAATAATAGGGCGGGGTTTTTACTTCACAAATAGGGTGGCTATAAAGAGGAGTATAAAGGTTGAGCAACTTATGTGAGGGTAGACTGCAAGCTGGCAGCAAAGTGGCAAATGGAATCTGCTGGCTTGTCTGCAGTTTGTCATAGCTGGAGATAACATGGAGAAAGAAGTCTTGAATGAATGTGGGGCAGGTGCCTGAATCTTTGAAAGCCATTGGGAATCAGGTATCTCATTACCATCCATCCTGCTGAGAGGGTAAAAAACTGGGATATTGAAAGTTGTCATCTTGTTGAAAAGTGCCTGTGTTGCTTTGATCTGCCTCCAGCTGTGTTTATTATGCCATCAAATCTTGTCTTCCCAGTTTCCTTGAGACTGTGTAACAGAGTTGAGAGTTTTCTATTTATTTTCTTAGAATCATATCTGCAAATAACATTTTCTCCTGGTGAGTTAAACATACTAAGAAACAAGCAGCCAACTTTGTGTCAAGTGTATGCATTTTGCAGGTGATAGTTCTTATTCTTTCTTTGTGTTCCTAAATATGATGGGCACCATCTGAGAAAGGAGAAGGCTGTTTGCAGTGCAAAGACAGCGTCACGCCAAGATGTTGGTTGAGTTCCAAATCACAGAAGCATGTCAGTTACTGAACCATCATCCTGACTTAAGTAATACGTTTATTTCTCTTGGAGTTTCCGTTACGCTGTCTGCTTGGCTCATACCGATGAAGAGACAAGGTCAACATAAAGTGACCATAGATTGAAATGGGGATTTGTGTATCTGTGTTACGTATCTCAGTGAACTAGTCTTTCACAACTTTTTCTCTAACAGTGCAATTTGTGTGACGTAAGAGAAAAGATAGATATGGAAATAAGGATTCTTACCTAAATGAGAACCAACTGCTTTCTGATAGCCGAAGGGGGAGTTTTGTTCATCTCTTTTTGGCAGCCTATCTGAAATGGCCTGTATACTCATATACCCCAAACAGAAAATCTAGGTATTGAGTACAGCGTAATTCTGCCTGTGGAATCTCTCAGCTAGTTTAAGGCTTTCTATGTGAAGAGCTGGTTGCAGACTGTGCTAGATTTTCCTTAATGCTGAAATGCTAGTTGGCCTCCTCTCGTAGAGACCATTGATTCCACACTGTTAGCCCCTGAATT